TATATATATATATATATAAATGGTTTATATATTTTGCTAAAAATATTTTATTAAGCTAAGTGTAAAATGGACATTCCATCCAATGTTATATATTCTAAAGTTTTAATTCGAATGTATAGTAGATTCTTTTATACGTGGCATCTATTACACGCATGTATGTTACAATCTATGTGTAAATAAAATTTCGTCATTAATTATTTGCGAACAAATTTGTTCGCATTCTTAATTGGCTTTATCGCTGATCTATCTTTCTCTCTTTCCTGTCAATCTTTCTCTCAAGGATTGTAACATACAAGCTTTGATTTAAACTAGAATGTTAATATATGTGAATAATATAATATAAATCATAAATTTCTATAACAAAGCACACACAAAATTCATTTTGCTCTGTTACTTTATACTCGGGGAAAATCGTACATACACACTTTCGTATCGCCATAGCGTTCATTGCATTTAGTACAGTATCGTTAATAATCACGCCCTTACACGGATGTGATCCAACACTAATTCTATCATATGTAACGGATAATATCTTAGTATACCGAATATGTGCATTAATAATTAGACTTTTGGTTTTGGAGAGTATTCGATAACGTGGGGCAACGAAGAGAAAAAGCGGAATTAAAAACACTACCGTCTCTATATACGCTCTCGCGGCTTGTGATTTAACTGTGGTGTCGGCGTATTACTCTTTCAAAGCTGGCTTACGGCCTAATATCTTTTGTGATAGTGTAGTTGGTGAAATCATACACTGAGACGGACACATAGGTTGGATAGATAGATTAGTGTACCAGGGAATCGAGCATCGGCTTATTGAAAGAATGCAGCTCGCCGACCTTATTCTTGTAAAGGCAGCCAAATATCTCACACACTGCCATGCCAATTAAACGGGCTTCCACTGTTTGCAATGAACCGCGGGAGCGGAGAAGAGAGCCAGTTCTCTCTCTCACGAAGCCGATCTTGATTCTAATACATGGATCGCGAAGTGTTGTTTATGATAATTTCATTTCTTCCTCTTGCCACGGTTTTTTTAAATATACATATATACATGTGTGTGTTGTGTGTGTGTGTGTGTGTGTATGTGTGTGTGTGTGTGCGCGCGTGCGTGCGCGCGCGCGTGTGTATGTATGTATGTGTGTGTGTTTTGTTAGAATATTGAAAAACATTTATAGCTAGACACAAACACGAGACTGTTATGATTAGTGCTTCGCGGCTCAACGGGTATGTGAAACGATTTGGTTTGCATGTCATGTGATTTCGTGGAAGGATACGTAACTTTCCTCAGGCCGCGTACCTATGTTTCGCGAACGATTGTGTAACAGACCCGATCTTTTTTCTTTCTTTTTTTTCTTTTTAATCCCTCGTACACGGTTATATATATTATAGCCGGTCAACTGTCTTTTCGGGCATTGTATTTCATTAAATAAAAAAAAGAGATGTCTCACGTTCCTATTTTTTCCAAGCCAATAAGTTTTCTGTTAATTTTCCTTTTTTCAATGCGTGATCCTATTATAATTATCTTATGCAGTGTAACTTTCTTTTATGCTATATAAGGGCTACCATAGACAAAAGACAAACTTAAATCAATGAGCCAATCAGGATATTGTTTTAGATCTAAAGCAATATCCTGATTGGCTCATTGGTTTAAATTTACGCTTAAGGTTATTGTTATGGAATTTTATATATATAT